TCGCCTACCCCAAGGGTGTTCTTCACGCCCGGATCAGCGACGTCCGTCAGGTGGTCACCATCGAGTCGATTCGTCAGTTGTTCCGTCACTCCGGTGATGGATATGTGATCTGCGTGTACGAGCGGGTGGTGGACGGGATGTATGGCGTGGAGGCATACGTCGAGTTCCGGTCTCAATGGAGGGCGACCCGAGCTCGAGCTGCCTGGGATGGCCATGCTATATATGATGGCTGCTGCATCCTTGCCGTCGACCTCGTCCCGCCGGTCTACACCACCATCACCATGCCGGATGACACGACGAGATGGCACCCTCGTACTTCTACGACGACACTCCCTACGCGGAGTGGACTGCGGCGTTGGCCGCAGCTGAGGGCCATGATGAGGTGCCCGCTGCATCCACCGACAGCCTCCAACTCGAGGCGTCCATGGGCGCCATCAGCGCGAGTCTGTCCGAGCTCGCCGCGCCTGCAGCACAAACTCTGTCCGCGACCACCGACATTGCCGTCCTGGAGCTCAGCGTGAGTGACAAGGTGCTTGAAGTTGACACCAACACCGCCGCTCCGACGCCCACCACCTGTTCGACAGGGTGCCCAAGATGCGACACGCCCGAGGAGTCGGCGCTCACTTCGTCCACGACACTACCTTCATCCATGATCGTCGGCGACATCGCTCCTGAGCTTGCTGCACATGTATGTGGCCTCTATCATATTACTGAGACTGAGAGAGACGACCCAATGGCGTCGTTCCTAGTTCCCTGGAGTGCACCTACATCCTTCACAATGCCACATGAAGCCTCGCCAATGCCTCTGCGTTGGTTGTTCCCTGTCTTTGATATGGATAACTTTGCAGTTACTAAGTGTTCAACTGATTGCTTCGACTACAACACCAGTGAGGCCATAGCTTCAGTTATTGAGCAAAAGGTACAGGTACTCCGACCTCTGCCATGGCCTTCCTTTTTCAGTGATTTGGCATGTATTAGCGAATCCTCGAGTGGTGAGCAGAATATTTTACACGGGTGGTTCCTTCAAAATGATCTTCTCGAATCATGTCTAGCTATCACACCATCAATTACGCCTCAGCTAATGGTGCTGATGGAAGAATTTGGGAGCCTACTGACAGTTGCTTCAGCTGGTATACCCGTGCATCTATCAGTTGGTGAGAGCAGTACCATTCTTATTTACACTGCTAGATGGTTGCTACAGATATCTTCCAATTCAGTACTGCAAATGCCTTTAAGTGGATCTGCACCCAATTTTATTATGGCGATTTTTTCCGAGTGTGGCAGTTTGCTGAAGTGTGGATGGAGAGGACAGTTTGGCTTGCAAGATATTCTTGTACAGATTACCATTCCCCAAGCTGATGCAGTTTGCTATTTTTGGGAAACATCTAACCATGGGGGACAAGGTTCTTATTGCCGTCCGCGATCTGAGCAGGACAAGTTTTCTTGTACTACAGTAGAAGTTGATCATGCTATGAGATGGTGCTCAGTTGAATTGATATCCTGGTCATTGAAATGGAAACAGATCTATTTAGTAGTATCAGAGGGAGTGAGATCTTGGCCTTGCTGGGATAAATTTGTGTTGGTTCCTGCAATGATGCGAGTTACATTTGACAATTATCACAGTATAGTGGTGCTCATGTCGATAATAGGAGAAGGAATTACCAGTTTGCAATACCTTGGAAAATTAAATAAGGAGTACCCCAGTTGCAAAGAGGCCCTGTTTGAGCAAGCTACATTCTATGATTCTGAATGTTTTTGCATGGATTCTAATGGACACTATTTGTGCCTATTCAGATATTGGAGGGAGTGGACATGTCATTCACTGGTGTAAGTTGCTGGGTCAATCAAAAATATTGTTCTTCATGCTATTCTTACCAGGACCATTCTGTTGCATAAGATTACAATCAACTACAGATTCTTCACAAGTCGAACGAGTTGAAGGGCTTCCAAGTGGTTCTGCGACCAAAATTCTTCTGGACATATTCTCAGAGGTCATGAGCTCTTGGAGTTATTCTATATTAGGTGCAAAACCTGGAATGTTGACGAGGTATAAATTCGCATGTGTTTTGAACTGTTCTGGAGCAGAGCTACTGCATGATCGTTATATTCAAGTTTGGGTTAAATTCCTTTTTGTTGGACAACTTATTCAGTGTGCCTTTAAGATGAATCATTGGAGAATTGCTTGGATACTAGACTGGGATGTATATGAACATGCTGATATGAAATTGAGGGAATTATGGCTCACGAAAATGGACCAGGAGATCTGCTATTGTATTGGCGATGTTACTGCTTGGTACTTGTCCTTTACATGATTCAGACCCACTAATGCATATTTTGTTGAGCATAAGATGCAAATTCTCAGAGGAATTGAGAAATGGCTATCATATAATCAATATGTGCAGCCAACTGCTGAAATTTTTGAGGCTTCTCCTTGGCATGTGTTTTATGTTTCTGGAAGTTTCTTGCAAGTGAATGCTACAGGTTTAGCCCAACATTTGTTTCCTTGGGCTAACCTACAGGAAGGTGGCACTAGCGAGGCTGAAGCCATGGCCTTCTTGAAAATGCTTCTCATGGGAAGAAAAGATCAGCTGACTACTTCATTATATGCAACTATTGAACTTCGCGGAAGTGAACAATTTCCTTGCGTCATTGCTTGGTGGAGTTGCTGCACTACTAGCTCCATGTGTAAGGTGCAGTGGGTGATTCTTACCTGTACAAATTTAAGGACTGGAGGTGATCTGTGCAAGTGGAATCAACTACTAATGTTCATGTTTGCTGCAAGGGGTGGCACTGTTCTGATTCTGGCATGTGATCCTGACAACTTTCAATGAAAATAATGGTCGGCCTCTCTGCTCCGGAACTGAACCAACGAGGTCATGCACTGATGCAATGGAAGATCCCATGGTTCCAAGCACTGCTTGAAGAGTGCTCTCATGTGATCTATTGCTTGAAGATTGAGGTCAGAAGCTCAGTTGTCCGTACCATTTCTCTGTTGCACTTGCCTTGGGACCCTGGTGGTCTTACTCGTCGTCGGCCTGGGATCAAGCCAAACTTCATGGGGATCGTTCAGTGGGTGCGAGGATGGTGGATTTTTGTTGTGCTGATATGTTGTTGTAGCCACTACTTTGACGGTGCATTATACCTTGACCAAGTCTGTGCCGACCAAGACTACCACCTACATGTCTTGGTCGACCAAGTTCCTATTGGTCATGACGATGACTACATTGTCACAAGATTGAGTCAGTGGCCTACAATTGGTCGACAAGGTGATTTGTGTCTAATTCTGGTTCCTGATGTGCTCATGTTACAAGACCTACAACTGGCTTGGGATCTAGATGAGAAGGTCCTTGATTGGGTTCAAATTGCAATGCAAGTTCCTTGGGATCCCAGTGGTTCGACATGGAGTCGGCTTGAGGGCAAGCCGAAACTTATGGAGGGGGGATTTGTCAGCGACCTTGCTATGGGCCGGCCCTATTCACATCGATCTGGCCCAGAAGATGGATGGCCTCCAACTACAAAAGGCACACGGGTGCCCACGGAAGAGGGGCTTGGAACAGAAGGCTTCGGCCTGGCCTGGCTTGGCTGGCGATCTCTCTCTCTCTCTCTCTCGCCCGTGACCTTCCTCCTCCCTCTGTTCCTTCTCTAGATCCTAAAATTCTCATGTAATTTCCACATCTGTAACTGAATCCTTGTTGATTGAGTGGAACTAGTAGAGAGATCCTAACAATTTACTTTGGTGCTCTCCGAACTGCATACAACTGCCACACACGATGTGCCTCGAACATGAGCGGGCCACCAGTTTGTGTGGGTTGATGTATTCCTCCTGAGCTTTCTGCAGGTGTTTCTGCCTTGCGTTCAAGAGAATAACATAAAGTAGAGGAGTCTGCAGTTCGGCCCATACAAAATGCGCATGGTAGAAAACAAAGATATAGTGGGCCTATTTGGTTGGCCTACAAATTTGCCTGGACGTGCCAAAACAAGGGACCTCCTATATGACGCTAAGTGCGTCTAAATGCCCAGCAAACGCACAAGGACGACGCGACTGGTCCGGCACATTGATGCTGGGGTTGCATCAACTTGAACGATCTTAGCAGATGATATTTCTTGGACTTTGCTACATCAGATTTCTGCCCTGGCAAATCGAACGTTTCTCATGTCATTTATAGTTGTCGCGAGGATGACAAATGTCTTAAATACATTTTTTAGACGCAACCTTTTCCTGAAATTGGGGACTTGTTTAAGAACATATATGTTTTTTCGAAATTGTGAGCATTTTTAAAAATGTATGAGAATTTTCTGAAATACTAGAACTTTCTAAAATTTTACAAACATTTTTTAAGAATACTTGAACAAAATAGGAACTACAAATAAAAACTGAAAGAAACACAGTAAATGACAAAATAGGAAAAAATGAAAAAAAACTTGATTAAGACCTTGTAGAAGGTTCTAAAACCAGATTCCTCTAGGGGCTAAGAAAACTGGAAGTTGTCGCCATACATGATTTGTAATTGACATGCTCCACCATAGAGTGGGGTTTTTGCTTGTGATGATGCATGAAAGTGGACGTTTGCGTCATTCGCTTGGGAGGGTGCATAAGAGCGAAGGGGGATTCGCAGGCGGGATTGTACGCACCAAAGAGTGTTCCCTCAAAACCATTCAGAGATAATGTTCACTTACGGAACTGTTCTCTTCATCGACCAACCATATCTGACAAAAATGTATTTACATTAAACGAACCGCAAATGAAATTACATCAGGCTACTTGATCTAATTGAATGTCTCTCCGTTAAATACTCTGTAATAGGACACTAGAACAGATGGCATCACAAGTCACAACACACACATGTATGAGTATATGTACTCATCTATCACCACTGAAATGAATCACTGTAGGATTGCAGGCTGGGGATCGTAGGTAACTTCTAAGCCTGCAAAATCACGGGTCGTCGGCGTGGCAAGTGGCAACCCATCTAGCCGCGGTATTTGGCCGCTCCAAACTTTCAGCTGCGCCCTGACGGAACAGAGGCGGCGGCCATGTGCTGAACCCAGTAGTCGGCCAAGAACGTCTTGGCGGCGTCGAGGCTGGGGAAGTAGGGCGGCTCCAGGAACATCTGCGACAGCGGGTCCGTCCCCTCCGCCGGCACGAACAGCGCCCGGTTGCCCGACGCCTCCGCCGTGCCACACACCGCCGCCACGACCTGCCGGTACGCGAAGAAGAACCTCCGCACGGCCGCCTCCACGGCCTGGAAAGCCTGCAGCAGCTCGATCTTGCCGGCTTCCTCGCCCTCGCCGCGCCTCCGGCCGTGGTACAGCCTCATGGCCGCCTCCTGCACCCTCGGCCCGCCATTGGGGTCCGCCTCCACGCCGATCACCCACGGCACCAGCTTCTTGATGTCCCTCGTGGCGTTCGCGGCGTGCAGCAGCGCTCTGGACCGGAAGCAGAAGGACGCGTCGGTGCCGTCCGGCGCCGGCCGTATCGCGAGCTGGCTCTTGAGCCGCAGGAAGTCGTCCGGGTCCATGAGCAGGTGCAGGTCCTCGATGTCGGCGAGCAGCTTCCAGATCCGCTCCAGGATCCAGCAGTCGCTCGCCGCCGCCTCCCAGGCCTTCGCCTCGATCCGGCTGTTCAGGCGGGTAAGAAGCTGAGACGCAGCGCACAGCCAGGATTCAAGAATCTGGTGGATGGTGAAGAGCGCCTCGTTCTCCCGGTTGCGGTAGCCGGTCTTGGCCTCCGGCGCGACCCTGGGCTTGAGGGCGTGCAGCTCGTGCGGCTGCACGACGCGGTCGTACTCCAGCACCGGCTTGCCGGCGAGGTTGGGCTCGCCGAGGCCGAGGGAGAAGGCGCAGCTCTGCATCTGGCTCTCGATGGCGTACTTGATCTTGGCCGCCAGGGTCTCGGACTTGTCCCACGCGGCGAGGCGCGGGAGCAAGCTGGCCTCACTGGCATGACACACCACTGCGGCAGCGCTCCCCGGCAGCTGCCACACCTCCGAGGCGCTCCGCTCCCGCGGGAGCACGCCCTCGGACGAGCTCAGCTCGGCCAGCGGCGCGCCGCGGTCCCCCTCGCAGAGCGCGGCCACCACCTCCACCTCCCGCGCGGCGAGCGACTCGAGCCGCCGCGCGAGCTCGCGGCGGCTGGCGTAGCCCCGCGGGTCGGAGAGCGCGACGGAGACGAAGCGGAAGGTGATCTCCAGCGCCTGCAGCGCGGGCTTGACCAGGCCCTCGTCGGGCCAGCCCGGGCAGCACGCGGCCTTCCACAGCCTGGACAGCTCCGGCAGCCGCAGGTACTGCTCGTACGCCTCGGCCGCGGAGCTGTCCTGCACCTTGAGCACCACCGACGCCGCCGGCGCGCGCCGCTTGTCGTCCGGCCGCACAGGCGAGAGCGGGGACAGCTTGGTCGTCGCCATTTCTTTCAGCTCCTCAACCCTCGGGTTAACTGACAACCTCTCGTTTGAAATCTCTACCACTCCTTGCTCGAAACAGAAACTTCGTTGCTTGTTTCTTGCTCTCGGGTCGGGTGTGGCCTCGAGGATTAGAAGGCGAGGCTGCTTATATACTGCTCGTGGGCGTATAGATAGGGAGGAGCTGAGCTGAGCTGAGGTAGCGCGTGGCGTGTGGACCGCGGCGCGGGGTGGTTTGAAAACGAAGTCTCTCAAACCGCGGGGGTGGGCGCACGCAGAAAGCCATTGAAATTAGGGAAGCGCGGAGGAAGAAAAGGCGCTCCGAGCTTATCCGGAGGGAGGGAGGGAGGCGTGGGCGGGCTGGCTGTCATCAGCTGTGATGCGCGATGCGATGCGGTTTTGTGCCGTCCGAGTCGTCGTGAATCGTGGTGTTTTCTTGCGTTCCGGCAGCGCACGTCGCTGTACCTCGTGGAACGCGGCCGTCTCTATCTATCCGCAGCTGCCCATCCATCCATCCATCCTGGGCCGGCACGAGGTTCGCCGTAAAAGACGTCGGGATTATCACCTTTTTTTATTATATATCGCTTAGTTTAGTGGGAAACTTCATCGATTTCTCCTTTGCTTGCGTAGGTAATTCTGTAGGTGAAGACTAATTTTGCCCTAGCAAGCGACGTTAAAATAGTTTGTGATATTGGTCGGCAATGTCGTAAGCTACGGCCGCCATTGTTTTTCGTTTGGGGATTTACCATGTACTTGCTTCCATTGAAATGCTTCCTGTATTCGGCTAGGACGGCTTTCGGTGGCTGACTTTTGTGGCTTTCTTTCTTTGGTTATTGAGCACTATTATATCCAAGGTCAACTGGTTTCCTCACCCGCAAAAAAAAACTGGTTTCCTAATTCCCCGCAAAAAAAACTGGTTTCCTAATGGTTTTAGTTGCATTCTTTTTATCCTCTGGGAGTGGTGAGCATGCAGATGATCTCGCCCGCCGAACTCTAAACTGCTCTCATGAATTGGATAGTACTCCCTTCATAAAGAAATATAACTCTAAAAAAATTTAAAATCATTTAAATCACTAGAGTAATATTTGACAATTCTTTGTTTCATTCTTTTAAGCAACTACATACATTTGGACACAACTATTGTCTTCCTTCATTAATTAGGAGACTTCTCGAACTGCCTGGGCAGGTTTCACTTCAAGAAGCCTGACTAACTACTTGAAATAAGGATAAGTCGCATCAACCAATGCTAAAAAAATTATGAAACAAGGCAAAAGACTTGTCATTTTTATTACTTAAGAATGGAGTTTTGCTACACACGCCGCCAAACGATAAAAGTCTAAACAAATTACTCTCGTGGCATTACATTACTTGAATACTTGTCACCCGCAATGGCCCAAAGAGACACTTCATCTTTGACGTTCCGCGTGATGATAGCCACCGGCGCCACCTTGCTCTTGAAAACGTGTGCATTCATTTCCGTCCAGATTTCCCATCCCACAAGTAGCAGTAGAGAAGACAATGTTTTCACTGGTTGAGCATTGCTAGTGAGGAGCTCATCCCACCAAGATTTAACCATGTGAAACCGATGCCAAAGAGTCGTGGAGATATAAGACTGAGCAAGGAGAACATCTCGTTCCAAACATGGATAGAGAACCTGCACTTGGAAACGAGGTGAGCCGCAGATTCTTGCACTTGATTGCATAACGGGCATCGGTCGTAGTTTGGCCATCCTCGATGTTGGAGCTTATCCATAGCCCAAATTCTATTTTGAGTGACTAGCCATGCAAAGAATTAAGCCTTCCAGACTGTAACATGTAAGCTTAGTGGAGTGGTTTTCATCGTTGCGAGCTTCCACATAATGATATCCTTGACGCTCGACTGGATGAGGACGCTCGCAAGCTTCTCACAGAGGGCCGCGAATTGTTGAAGGTGCTCAAGCGTCAGGACACTTTGGGTATCGATTTGAGTTATCCAGTGCCCTTTCCTTAAGGCCGTTGCTACAGATCCACCTTTCTTGCGGGATATCTCAAAAATCTTTGGAGCAATGTCTTTGGGTCTGAGACCCTGCAGCCAAGATGACTCCCAAAATTTTGCCTTAAAAGATGTTGCTATTATCATTTTTTATTATCAATTAATTTACAAGGAAAATTTCAACCATTTTCTCCTTTGCTTGGGTAGGTAAATTATGTAGGAGGAGAGTAAGTTTTCCCTAGCAAGCGAGGTTAACATAGTTTGTGATATTGGTGCAATGTCGTAAGCTACGGCAGCCATTGTTTTTCATTTGGGGAGTTACATTGTATGTAGTACTTCCTTGCATTGAAATGCTTCCTGGATTCAGCTAGGACGGCTTTTGGTAGTTGACTTTAGTGGCTTTCTTTCTTTGGTTTATAGTCGCATTCTTCTTATCTCCTCGGAGTGGGGAGCATGCAAATGATCTCACACTAAGATGACTCGAGTGGCTAAGGATTTGAAGATTTGGAGCAAGTCGATGTTCAGCGATGCGCGCCTTCAGCTACACCTTGCTTCAGAAATTGTCCTGAGATTAGACATATCATAGGAAACTAGGCCCCTCTCTGATGATGAATTCCATCCGCTAAAAGCCCTCAAGCTGCGAATTTTAGGCCTGGCTGCAGTAGAGAGGGCCCGAAAAAGGCAGGCGTCCCGAATAACTTGGCTCCGGGCTGGCGATGCGCCGACTGCCTTCTTTCAGGCGAAGATTAGCTCCAGAGCCCGGAAAAACTTCATCCATGCGCTGCACGGACCAGCTGGGGCAGTCACTGCACAGGAGGACAAGGAGAAACTGATCCATGATCATTTCCACTCCTTGTTGGGCTCGACGGCGCCGCGGAGTGCCACCATCAACTGGACCGCACTACAACTACCACAAATCCACGGTGGTGGCCTCGACAATCCTTTCACAGAAGAAGTGTGGCTTGTGATCAAGTCCTCCCCGGCTGAGCGATCGCCGGGGCTGGACGGCTTCTCCGGCAGCTTCTTCAGATCCTGTTGGGCGCTGATCAAAAGCGACATCATGGCGGCCTTCTCTCAATTCTACAATCTTGCTGGCAGAAACTTCGCCATGCTCAACACAGCCCTAGTAGCTCTCCTACCAAAAAAAGATGGGGCATCCACCATTAGTGATTATAGGCCTATTAGTCTGATCCACTCCATCGCCAAGCTTATCTCCAAAGTGCTGTCGATGAGGGTGGCCACGGTCATACACACCCTCGTCTCCCCAGCTCAGTCGGCCTTCCTTCGCACCAAATGCATCCACGATAGCTTCCTGTACGTCCAGAATTGCGTCAAAGCTCTCCACCGAAAAAAGACCCTAAGCTAGACATTGCCAAAGCTTTCGATAATGTGTCCTGGGAGTATATCCTTGAGATGATGCAAAAGTTGGGGTTTAGTGCCCGCTGGAGAGACTGGATCGCTCTACTTCTCGCCACCTCATCCTCATCCTTCCTCCTCAACGACTCGCCGGGCCGCAAGATCATCCACCGTCGAGGACTCCGGCAAGGAGACCCCCTATCACCCTTCCTGTTCATCTTGGCGATTGACCCGCTTCATCATCTCTTAGAAGAGGCCATGCATCGACAGCTCCTTGCCCCCCTGCCCGGCAGAGAACTCAAGCTTAGAGTCAGTTTATACGCGGACGAGCTGTCATTTTCGCAAACCCAATACAACATGAGATTGATGCGCTACTAGATATTCTACGAAGCTTCGGCGAATCCACGAGCCTTCATATAAACCCCGCAAAGTCATCAGCCCTGCCAATTAGATGCGACAACGTCGACCTCGAGGAAGTGCTTCAAAATTTTGGAGGTGCAATAGGCACCTTCCCAGCCACCTACTTAGGCCTCCCTATCACCACTTCTAGATTAAAGCCAGTGCACCTACAATTCATTATAGATAGGCTTAAGGCTAGACTAGCGGGATGGAAAGGCAGACTGCTACCTATAGCTAGCCGGAGGATTCTTGTTAGATGTGTGCTCAGTGCCATGCCAACTTTTGCACTCACAGTTTTGCAGATCCCCAAGAAGCTACTGAGAGATATTGATAAGTGTAGGAGGAAATTCTTGTGGAAGCAGGAGGAGGAGATCACTGGAGCTAGTTGCAAGGTGAACTGGCCGACTGTGTGCACACCGACCATGCATGTAGGCTTGGGAATCCCTGATCTTGAGCGTTTCAGTCACGCCTTGAGACTGAGATGGCTCTGGATTGCCTGGACAGACCCTAGCCGCCCTTGGCGTGGCACCATGCCGCCATGCAACAGTGAGGACATGGCCCTGTTTGCGGCTGCAACAACAATGACAATTGGCGATGGTTCGACGGCTCTGTTCTGGCACTCCCGGTGGCTTGGAGCCTGCACCCTTGCTGCGGCATAGCCGGGCCTTTACAACCACTCCAAGAGGAAGAAGCGGGCCATGCGCGATGCTATCAGGGATGATAACTGGATAAAGGACCTTAGGCACGGGGACACACTGCCTCTGCGGCCGGAGTTCATTCGACTAAATCGCCAGATCACCACAGCTGCAATGGTGTTCAGGGATGGCACCCAGGATACCATCCGATGGAACCAGGATGCAAAGGGACAATACACAGCAAGATCGGCCTACGCGATGCAATTTCAGGGCAGGCTACGATCAAACATGGATGATCTAGTCTGGAAGACATGGGCACCGGGAAACATCAAATTCTTCGCCTGGCTGCTGCTGATGGATCGCTTGTGGACAAACGACCGCCTCTAGCGACGGGGTTGGCCAAACAACTATTTCTGCCAATTGTGTGTTCGCAGCCTTGAGTCGGCACACCACCTCATATGGGGCTGCCCAGCTGCCCTGGCTGTCTGGCGATCGGTGGGGTGCAGGGGAGGATGCTCAAACTTCCTCCCGAGCGACTCCTGGACGACCTCCAGTCCGATTGAGATCGTGCACAAGATGGTCCAGGCAACGCCGATGGATTCCAGGAAAGGGGCAAAAACCACCATCCTCCTAACTTGCTGGGAA